GAGGAAAGTTAGGGAAGGGAAGAGAAGGAAGCCAGGTTGTTGTTCCGAGAAGGAAAGCAAGAAGCGGGAGTGAGCGGAGGTTAATCGGACCCCATGTGCTAGGGAGGACAGAGCGACTCTCTCGACTTTGCACGAATACCTTCCTTTCTTTGGTCTCTCCAACTCCAGCTGCCTCGTTGGTAAGACCTCCTCCACCTCCCCCCCCCCTCCGTCTCCGCTTCCTCCTCCTCCTCCTCCTCCTCCTCTTCTCCTCCTCCTCCTCACCTGTACTGTTGAGCCCGGTGCACCCGAGAGCAGGGACTGGACTTCAGACATCTTCATGCCTGAAACGACCTCAGCACGTCTTCCTCCTCTCCTCTACCTTAGAACTCCCATGCTCCCTCCTCTTCCCTCCTCCACCGACTACCAGCATCCTCCTCCTTTTCTCCCTTCTTCCTTCTCCTGCCCCACTCCTCCTTCCCCTCCCTCCCTCCCCTCCTTCCACCTATCACATCTCCACTTTCCCTTCCCCCATCCCCGCCGCCTCCTTTCCTCCCTCTTCCGCTGCTCCCCTGCTAGCTTCTCCCTCCTCAAAGCTGCTCACCAAAGGTAGACTGGCCATCGATTGAGAGAAGGAGATCATTCTTGGCTATGTGCTGGTCAAATCGTAAGTGATGAGGAGGGGAGGAGGAGGGGAGGAGGAGGAGGAGGAGGAGGAGGAGGAGAAAAGGGTATCAGCAAAGAAGGGGATCAGCAGAGAAGGGGAAAAGTAGAGTAGACACACTCATTGAAATAGAGGATGGAAGGAAAATCGAGTGGAATAGAAAGGAGCAGAAAGAAACATGAAACACACGAAGTTGCACAGGAAAAGTAGTCGGAGGAGAGGAGGGCGGTGAGTAGCATGGGGGTGAGGAGATGACGGGAGTGAGAAGCAGGAGGAAGGGTTACCTGCTGCGCTGACCCTCCTCCCTTGTAGACTTCAACTACCTGGCATTTGTACCTCTTCTCCTGCCCCTCCTTCCCCCCTACATCTTTTCTGAACGATCCTCCCCCTGCTCCTCCTCCTCCTCCCCCTCCTCCTTTCATTGCCTCCGCTTTGGCCATATCCCCGTAGAATGCGACCTTGAGACCCATCCCCACCCCAACACAGCCGTTGGGGAGCCTGGCGGAAGATGAACGAGAGTGAGAAGCGGGAAGGAGGAAGAGGACGAGGAAGAGGACGAGGACGAGGAAGAGCAAGAGCAAGAGCAAGAGCAAGAGCAAGAGCAAGAGCAAGAGCAAGAGGAAGGGAAAGGAGGTGGGGAGATCAGGAGAAAGCGACACAAGGAGGGGGTGGAGGGAGGAGGGAGAGAGTAGTGGACGATGTGTGCGAGGGCGACAGAGGAAAGGACGGGGGTTGAAGGAGGGAGGAAGAGAGAGGAGCATTACCGGAGCTCCCAATCCATAGAGATTTCCTGCATCAGTTCTCAGGAGCACCATGGAAGGAGGAGATGAAGTAGAACGAAACACCAAGGAAGCTCAAGAAGAGAGGGGCGACGCGAGGAAGAGTCTGGGAGAAAGAGAAGGAGCAGGAGCAGGAGCAGGAGCAGGAGCAGGAGCAGGAGCAGGAGCAGGGGCAGGAGCAGGAGCAGGGGCAGGGGCAGGGGCAGGGGCAGGGGCAGGAGCAGGAGCAGGAGCAGGAGCAGGAGCAGGAGCAGGAGCAGGAGCAGGAGCAGGAGCAGGAGCAGGAGCACCACCTTGAGTGTTTCTTTCTTCAGCAAGTCCTTGCGGATAAGAGCCGAATAATGTCGACCACCAACCTACGCAGAAATATAAAGGAGGGGAAACTGTCGAATTGAAAGAGCAGGGGGGGGGGGTGAAAGAGGGTCAAAATGGTTGAAAGTTGGAAGCGAGCCGTGAAACAGGACGGAAGGAGCGGGAGCAGGAAACATGAGAGAGCGAGCAGGAGCAGGAGCAGGAGCAGGAGCGGGAGCAGGAGCAGGAGCAGGAGCAGGAGCGGGAGCAGGAGCAGGAGCAGGAGCAGGAGCAGGAGCAGGAGCAGGAGCAGGAGCAGGAGCAAAAGTTGGATATAGCGGGGTAGAAATGGCAGGAAGAAAGGGGGAGGGAGGGTTGAGGGTACCGAATGCAAGAGATTGATCTCCTTCCCCGACGCCTTGGGGTTGAAAACTTCAGCAGGCAGGTGGCTCCCCTTAGAGTCGAGTCGCTCCCCGTGGTAGTAGTACAAGTAAACCTTCTTCTTCAGCGCCTTGCTCAGGGCATAGATCTCCGCCTTCTCCCCGAAGACCCCGGGGGTTCCCATGACGCTGCAGTAGACGTCCACGATGTCGTCCTTGGAGAACAGTGCAGACAGGTTCGCTCCCTCCACCAGCTCCCCCTCCTCGCTGAAGAACTCGGTCCCGTATCGCCTCCTCAGCTCCTCTCTCATCATCTGCGACGTCACGTCGGTCTGGGTCGGCTGCAGGCAGCAGTGGAGGATGTCAACGATCACGGGCTTGAACACCTCCGCCTCGCTCCGCATCGTCTGCACGGCCAGCAGTCGGTTCTCGTAGGTGCCGTTGAGGATCGCTTCCGGGCCGTAAAGACTGTGCACCCTCTCCATCAGCTCCGAGTAGGACATAGTCGGCTTGCCCAGCGCGCTGCGCGACTGTTTGAGCGCCTGAAGAGCCACCATGCTCATGAAGATGCTGTGGAACAAGCAGTCTCCGTCGTTGGGGGAGGAGAGGACGACGAACTGGTCGGAGATCCGCTGGGCATACGCCATCTCCTCCAGGACGAGAGCGTTCTCAGAGACGCTCTGCTTGATCCCCTTGAGCGTTTGCATGAGAAACTCTCCGTTAACACAGTCAGGATTCCTCTTGGAAGTGACGCCCATCTTTTTCAGTTCATCGCACTCCACCTGCGGTAGTACTATCGGTCAAGCGATCGGAGGAGGAGGAGGAGGAGGAGGTAATGGTGGTGGAGGAGGAGGACGAGGAGAAGTGAGAGCAAATCACCTGAAGTTTTCCGACTTTTGATATCATGTCGTCGTACTGACATCAAACTGAGTCAGGGACTCTCATGGCTGGACAAACTTGAACATGGAAAATAGAGAACAGTCATATGCAACATCACTATCAGCACCAACACCAAAAATAAATTATCATTAGCAGGAGCAGGAGCAGGAGCAGGAGCAGGAGCAGGAGCAGGAGCAGGAGCAGGAGCAGGAGCAGGAGCAGGAGCAGGAGCAGAAGCATCAGTGGCAGCAAAACCAACGAGATGATCATCCTGCATTTCATATCTCCAAGAGCACCTGCGATATTGACATGTCCTCCAACTTTCCTTCCTCCACTTGTTGCTGAACCTGATCAAGACCGGCATAGTTGAGGAGACAAAGTTCCAACCCTCCCCTTGCCCTCACCTGCTGCAACCCGAGCTCGCAAGCTTGTAGACGAGACTCCATCTCAAACTGTCAGACAATCGGTCACAACCGGCTCAGAGCTTCTCAGCCGCATGCGACTTGATGTGACGATGTGTATGCTTCGATTTGCGCTCGGGTCTTCTCCAGACGACTCTTCAGCGAGGGATATTCAGCCACCTAAAAACAAAACTTGAGGAGTTCTCCGACTATTGCTACTCTCCTCTCTCCTCCACCCCTCTTCAACCTCTCCTTCTTTACCACCGCCATTGGCACCACTACTACCACCACGTCCACCAAACCACCTCCTCTTCCACCTTTTCCCTTCTCCTTCCCCTCCTATTTCTTCTCCTGATACTCCTTGTTTTCACACCCCTTCCTCCAACAATTCACTGCTACCACCAACAAATCCACAGCATTTGCATCCACTACACACGACATCCAATCTCCTATTTCATCCCCATGACATGCTGTCATACCTTGTCCACCAGCCCGTCTGCATCCTGGATCAAAGTGTCCCAGACCTGTCCATCGAGTGTGAGCAGCGGGGAAGGAGAATGCTAGCTGGTACCTCCTTGCCGACGGGATGCATGCAGTACATCTGAAAGAGCTGGTCTAGTTCCTCCACTAGCTCCTTGAGACTGGGACGGGGGAGCTCGTGAGGAGGAACACCAAACCCTCCTCCATGCACTCACTGCGGATCTTCTGCTTTTACAGGGGCAGGCGCGTGCACGGTTGGGGCAGTGTGCTGTATCGCTCCCAACAGTTGAGACGACTCGTGGAAATACTGAACCTGCGTGTTCCAGTCAGCGATACGACATCGATGGTGGCGGCTCGGACAGGATGTGAAGGATGAGGAGATTGAGGTGATTGAGGTGAAGACAGGTGCGATTGCTGTCGCTGCTGGTGCCTCAGGTACTCGATTTGCTCCATCCTCCTAAAGTCGTCCCCGATACTGCGATGCTCGTGCCATCGTTCGTTCCTGATTGCGCTCGACTGCGCAGCTCCGTGCATGCCCGATCCCATCACTGCATTCCCAGGAGTGTTGAACGATGTGAACTGAGAAGCCCTCGGGGGGATGGTGTTCCTGAAATCCAAGTCTTGATTCCCACGGTAATCAACCATATGACCCATGTTTGAGGAGTCGAACGAGACCGGCCTTCCTGCATTCTCCACCTCTCTTCGCAGCCATGCTCCTCCAACCGGTTCTGGTGGAATGAGGATCTTTGCAGGAACGGTCTGGCTCCTGTCAACAGGAGGTCTCTGCCGAGATTCGACCCTCCCTGATGACAGTTCATGGGCCTGCATGGTCGCAGAGATTTGTTCGCAGTCCACCTACTTGGATAGGGCACGAGACACTCAAACGTCTATCATGTAATGCAAGGCAGCGACGTGCTATGTGATCAGATACGGTGTTCACTCCATCTCTCCATCTCACACTTCATCGTGCTATCCTGCAAAAATGGCAAAGTCAGTCCCAGGCCAGCAGCCAGCAGGATTGGCTTCAAAAGGGAACAAGAACACGAGCAAGAGACTGAGCGAGGGGCATGCGGGATGAGCGGGAAACTTCTCTGAGGGGAGGAAGGGGAGACTACGATAGCTGCCTTTCTCCTCCTTGTCTCCCCCGACATTTTGAGCCAGAACTGGGCGCACCCGAACCATAAAATGATGTCCAGGGGGGTACAGAAGCACTGTGTATGAGGAACAGCTGGAAGCAGGGGTGGGTACATGTTGATTAGACCGATGGGGTAGAGTCCGTCTCGACATGGGTAGGGGTTGTAAACACTGCATGGTGCCACGTAGGGGTAGTACGTCCTTTTCACGGGTACTTTTCATATATTTTCAAGGGGTTTGTAACGACTAGGGTAGGGTTCAGGTTACCGAGGGTTGTAATAAAGATCACATTTGAAGGGGTGCTTTAGATTTGGTAAGGGGTAGGGGTACAATGAGCACCTGGTGGTGGTAGACTTGGTGTAGCCTCAACTTCAAACTTTCCCCTTTAATTTGAACTTTTATCAGTCACAGACTCAAAATACTTGAGCTTTGAGTAAAAACACCTGACTCTGTGACCAGTCCGAGCTCCGGGAGGCACTCAGTGACTGCCGGTCGGCCCGGGCTCGGCGCCGGACCGTCCGAGGCCGCCGCGCCAGTGCGGCCGGGCCGCGGGCACTGCGGCACAGGCCGCCCGGCCGGGAAGCCTCAGACTATCCGGGGCCCTGATGACTTCTGACGCCCGCCTCTGGCTGGGCTCCGAGGCTGCGGGCACTCAGAAGTTCAACTTCCGCGGGCCCAGCGTACCGGCGTACGCCCGGTGGGTAGTACCCGGCCGGCGGCAGTCACGCCGCCGCCCGCATGATTGCCGCAGTGCTAGGATCATCGCGCCGGAGTCTAGCCGCACTGTACTCAGCTCTACTGAGTGCGGCCGGCCGGCGGCCAGGCTGACCGGCGGATCCTGCGGCAGAAAAAACCTTCATTCAATGATAAGTTAAGTGACTGAGCCTCCGCCGCAGCCTGGCTGCAACTGTGGGGGCTGCTGCTGATGGAGCGTATGCCAGCCGTGCCAGTCAGATAGCGCCGCCGAGTTAACAAAAACTCTCCTGTAAACTAAGACGACGGCGTTACGTGTTTGCGAGGCGGCGGCAATGTAGACGGTGTGGGACAACGAAGGGGGGGCTTTCCAAGTTTCCTAGCCGTCTTGCTAAGGTCCTCTCAGGCACTGTCTGGATGATGCCAGGCTTGGGTTTGGCACATCCTAGCATACAGTCTATCTCTCATGTGCTCCTCAATTCAATGATTCTGCCACGGTTTTGTGTGCATTAAACTCGGTCTCGAGTCACGCCCGGGCCCGCGCGGCCTGATTAGTAGTAGGCCCAGTGATCGAGTCGCCGGAGGGCCAGCGAGTGTTGCAGCTGGCCGCCCGAGTCTGCCCTCACTGAACTGGCACCGTGACTGACTCAGTCAGTGACAGCCACGGTGAGGCCGCTCAGGGCCTCAGTGAAACGGTCCGACCGTCGGACGGTCACTCGATCGGACGCCGGGGGCCGGTCCGAGCCAGAGCCACCTCTGCACCCACCCGATTGCTGTTTAGTATTTGGGAAAATGGTATGGTAGGGGTATGTACCATCACCCCCCAGAATCCCACAATTCATCAGGGTTAGGTCCTCCTTGCAATAACGAGTACCCCTGATGTCAACAGAAGCTAGAAATGAATGCATCCATCTTAAAGTATTTTTCGAATAAGTTTCTAATTGATACAGGATCACTGTCTCAGATAAGCTTCTGAGTACCCCCACCCACTTCACCTCAACCCAACTCTACTCAACTAATCTCGGTCCTGAGAGCTTTTGGGATTTGAATCACCACCCTACCATTACCAAAGTGTGTGATATCGAACCCCCCTTTTGATCATAATATTCTTCAGTCCAGTACCGGTATCTGATGACCCACCCCCCTGTGAATTAGTCAGAGGCGGGCGCTGTGGGCCGACAGAGGAGCGGCGAGGCGGGTCCTTGTGATGCAGGGGCGGGCATGGAGGAAGTGTGCTGATAGAGAGCAAGGGGGGAGGGGGGAGGAGGAGAAAGTGACATGCTCGTTCGGCGTTGCCTTACCCCCGCTAGCTCCCCCTCGCTGCTCCTCCTATCGGTCCATGCCATGTTGACCTCTACGAACCTTGCTGGCTGGTTTGCTCGCATTTGATGCTCATTCCTTGTTAGAAATTTGGACGTGGGAGGAAGTGGCGTGTTAGATGATTGAGGGGGGGAGGATAACATGAATAATGCATGAGAGAGCTCCCTGCTGCGAATAGTCGTGCATGAGTCGTGCATGTTTCGAGAACTGCATGGAATTGAAGGTTGAATGCTTCATAAGAAGCAAGACAACCCCACGGCTACATATTTGAATTTGAATTTGAATAATCACGCAGTGGCTGATCAGGCACTTGCATGATATGTTGTTGACTCAAAAGTTTGTGATGTAATGGTTTGTGGTGATGATGCATGTAAACTGCGATTGCTCTCAAAATTCTCTCCTTGGCAAACGACCGAGCTGTGGAGATTGTACTGAGAAGCTGCTTTGCTTGGCATCGTCGAGTGGACATCGCTCCTCAGTGTCACTGCTGTTTGATATCTGGCTGCAGGTCGACGACAACCATGGAAGGACAAACTCAGACCGCCTCCCAGCCTGCAGGTTTTCCTGTGCAACTCCCGCCCTTTGCTCTCCTCATTTCGTTCCAGCAGCCTCGGACAAGGCTCTGCCCGACAGCCAGGACGGGGTGCAGAACATCGTCGCGCCGATACTCCGACAGCGAGGAGCTGATGTGACTGTGCGGCAAGTGCGCGAGGATCTCCTGGCCGCGGGGTACACGGAGGCGGATATCAACTCAAAGTCCGAGCTCATCAAACAGTCCTGCTTCTCCCTGATACCCGAGGAACCCAAGGTCGATCTGTCTGATGTGGCCCGTGAGCGCTAATGGATTGATTGGGAACAGGCTGACGGGGACAAGACGGAGGGGAAAGGAAAGAAAGAGAAGAAGCCCAAGAAGAACACCGAAGCACAGCCAACTGCCAGCTTTGTCTTCCCAGTCAACCCCTTCACGGTCCTACCGCCACAGGAGATGGTGGTTGGACGCTTCACTGCCGAAGAGGATGCCCTGCTCATGCAAGCGATGGATTCTTCTCTGCATGCTAGAGTTCATGAGGTCAGCTTGAGCGGTTAAGGATGAGCTTGACTGGTCTACAGGTCCCCCTTGAAGTAGCGCGATCCGTGCTTGCGGGCGATAAGATCGACATGCCTGTGCCTGTAATCTTTCGATTGGATTGTGACGGCGCCGTGTCTCACTTGTGCTCCTTTTGCAGGCCAACCACAAGACATGGAAGAACTGGGTTCGAGACGTCTGGAGAGAGGTGTGGAGTCGTGTACGGCAGCGACTGGATCTGATTGATTGTAGATTGGCATGGCACTTCCAAGAAGAAAACCGACGGCGTGCTATGACCGGTATGCATGGTACACCTACCCTTTGCATGCTGACTGGCCTCTTGCGCCTTAGTGGCCGAAGGCTACTGCAGGACACAAAACGCGGTCAATGGACGCCGGCAAGTCAAGCGTTTGTTGTAGAGGAGAAAGTGATGTGTGGTTCAACAGGAGGAGATGGAGAAGATCGCAACACTAGCTGTCCAGTACAAGGACTCTCCAGTAAGTCCCTGCCACTGCCCCACACTCTCACTAACGGTTTGATGAAGTGCAAGTGGAAGTTGATCGGCGAAGAAGTGAATAGACCAGCTGCCTCGTGCAAGGACATCTATCGTCATAGAATCCTAGGCTCTGGTGACCAGATTGTGAGTTGATCAGGGAGGTGAATCGCTGGCTGACGGCGCTGCTGCAGAAAAAGGGCGTGTGGTCAACTGACGAGAGCATCAAGCTTGAAGAAGCTGTAAACGCGCAGGTTGCTGATCCTCCTCCAGGCTGCATGCACCCTAAAGCTCAGTTGCTTTGGCAGCTCCAAGAGATGAAGGGTAAGGACCAGCCGGTCAAGACGAACAACGCGTACATGATGGGATACGGAGACGTTGATGTCTCTTGGATCAAGGTCTCGAAATGCATCACCGGAAGAACTCCTGAGCAGGTCTTGTTTGCTTGCTGCTCTTCTCCGTTCTTCTCTCTCGTCTCCTTGCCGACTCACCTCCTTTGACCTGTTCCTGCCTTCTCACATGCCTCGCAGTGCCGCTCTCGCTGGAGGGTTATGGCCATCCACAAATGGCAGGCTGAGACGTCGGGTCAGCTTACTGAGGAGAGCGCTGTGAGCTCGGAGAAGAAGGATGAGAATGGATCGGAGAAGAAGGATGATAGCAGAGAGGACAAGATGAGACGGCACAACTCCCAACAGAAGAAGTGGACCCCGCAGGAGGACCTTATGCTCGCCCAGGAGGTCCTGCAGCAGGTTCCTGCCTCCCCTCCACAGCTCTTCCCCCAGCCTTGCTGATGGGCTTGCAGGTCATCGTAAGAAAAATCAGCAACTCCATCGATATCCGCTGGAAGCACGTGAGAACCCTTCCTCCCCTCCCTTACTCCTGTGGTGGTTCACCCATCCAGCCTCTAACCCCTTCCCCCACCCCCCCACCCCCTTCCCAACACACACACACACACACACACACACACACACACACACACACACACACACAATTACTCACACACTTGTCAGGTGCACGTTCCTGGCAGGCCCGGCCATCAGTCGAAGGAAAGGTGGAGGCGCCTCTGCCTCAAGTGCACTCAGCAGGTCCTCGTCCTCCTCCCCTCCCCTCCCATACGCTTACCTCAGCTGCCTTCTAGGGTGTCAACAGTGACAAGCTTGACGTGCTTGTCAATGCCATCTCGGCGATGCAGGAGGCTGAGCACATCGCGCAGACTCAGCGAGGCAAGAGGAGGAAGGCGATGCAGGGCATCCCCAACTTCGCTCCTCCTGAAGTAGACGCCAACCTGCTGGAAGCGCACAAGAGGCAAATGCAGCAGCACTACATGACCTTGCAGTCTCTGGGAGGTCAAGCCGCAGCACAGCCGGTGTTGGCCGCTCCTGCTGTACAGGCTGCAGCGAAGAAGCGGCAGGGGAAGAAGAGAAAAGCAGACGACGAGGACAAGGACGATTCCGACAGCGGCAAGAACGAAGAGCCGAGCGCTCCAGCTCCACCATCAGAAACTGCGGAGCAGGGCAAGAGTGAAGTTGCAGTTCCCGAGCCACCGCAGCCTCCAAAGGAGGCGGTGTGAGGAGGAGTTGTTGGATGATGCTGTTTGGAAAAATTTGTTTGTGTTGAATCGAATGACATCGATGCTATCAATTGTTTTATTAATGAGCATAGAATGCCAAAAGAAAAAAAGTAATCAAACATGTCATAGTGGTTATGTGACTTCTATCCTTCAGAAATAGTTTCTTCGCCCTCTCCCGATGAACCCTGCTTGCAGCCTGCAGCGGTTCTTGAGCATGAGCTCTCTGCAGAACTCGTACTTGGTGTAGTACATGAAATCACGCTTTCCCGGGTCCCCGTGCTTGGGTCCCCGCATGCCCTTGACAGGCTTGATGCCGATCTGTCGCAGGATCTCGTAGACAGGCCATGTCGGCTCCTTGATGCTTTCGCGCCCATTCATGAGCCAGCAGTGAGACTCGTCCTTGAGTACCAGGTTCCTGATCGACGAGTTGAACTCGCCAAGGTCATCTACCAGGATCTCCGAGAAGCCCAGCACGCAGTTCTGATTCACCTCCTCGTGCGAGATCAGCTGGATTACCTTCCGCTTGTTGAGCTTCCAAAACAGCCTCTGCAGATCCTGCATGCGTCTCCTCGCGTTGGGCTTCACGTTGACGCCGATGAAGGCGGAGATAATCTCATCGTCTGCGCAGTCAACCTCCACATCGCCATCGTCCTCGTCGGACGGGCTGTTGCTGTTGTGGTTCAAGTCGTCGGTCGTCAGCTCGACGCTCGACTGCGCGTAGCTCTCATCATCCATGAACCCATCGTTGTCCTCCTCGGAGGTAGACTCGGGGAACAGAGGTGGGGACGGGCAGAACAGCTTCTCGACGAAGATCTCCTGCTCCATCACGTCCTTGTCGTCTTCGTGCTGTAGATCATCCGTCACCGCGGGGAAGGACCCCTCGTCCAGGGGCAACGAGAGGAAGTCGAAGGATCCGCTTCCGTGCATGCAAGACATGCGGGAGAGCTCGAAAGAGCCGCTGCTCCAGAGGTTTGAGAGGCGTTTCCTCAAGGTGAGATCCTCCATCTCCTTGCCTTCGGGGATATGGAGGCTAATCATGTCCGTGGACATATTGGGCCTTCTTCTGTGAGTAACTGAGGCGGATGGGGGATTCAGCCGGCGCTATCGAACGAGATAGCTATAAGTTGCACGGAATGCAGTATTCTTGGAACCCAGGCAGATCAAGAGGGGGCAAAGGTATGGCACGCCGGGATAAGCAGGAGGAGGGGGATCAGGGAAGAACTAGTCAGAGGAAAGAGAACGAGTACAAGCTGCAAGGTGGATAGAGCAGCAAGTGGAGAGGCACGAGGAGATCAGAGGAGGTGGAGGCAGGTGATGGTTCAAGGAGGCAGGAAAGATGGAAGGCGGAGGCCGAGGAGGGGGAGGGGGAGGGGGCGGCGGACGGAGATGGGGTGCAAGCTTCAGGAGGAGAACGCAATGATGTCGGGGGTTTGCAAGGAGGGGAACATATGGGAGAAGTAGGGGAACCACTTGGGGGTGGGGGGTACTCAATTAGTACCAGGAGAAGGCTGATTTGTTTGAATTGAACGGGGTGGGTAGGCGTCGATGTTTTTAAGACCCTATATTTTTAATTAAAACAGGTTTTTAGATGCAAACTGGCCTTAAAGAGACGATGTTCCCTAAAAGGTTTTAAAAAGAAGATAATTAAGACCACCCCACCCTTTTCCACCGTGTAGTGTGTGTGCCCCGCCGGGCAGTGCACCCCAACATACCGCTCTTGCACCCCACTGATGCCCTGAGTCTGAGTGTGGACCCACCCCATTCTTGTCAATATTTCCATGACAGTTCTAGAATGTGATGGGTCAGTTTCCCTGAAAACATCTGGGAATCAAAGGGTACTCTGGGCTACCCGTCCTAGTTGTGAGCACCCCATCGAGGTACCACCCATTGAGTGAGAAGAACAGCCCTACCCCACGGAGGGATCCAAAGTCTACACACTGTACCCCTACCCTACTCACAAAGAGAAATTCTGTGAGGGGTCCTCGATCGAACCCCGGATCCGCAACCAAATCCAGCCAAACGCGATGGTCAACTGATGGTCAAATCCAAAAAGTACTAGTAGAAATACCCAACAACTACTACCCCACCCTCTGTACTGGTTCTTGTAAATCCCGCTGAAAGCACCCCACCCTGAAGTTTTACAGCTGCTGCTACCCCTAGCCCTGACACAACAATTTTACCCCCACCGGTTCTTTTACAGGAGGGAAAGTCGTCCTGGACTTGCAACCCTCGGACATGTTGGAGGGTACCCGTGTATTCCTCTCAAGTTGTCAGAGTCCCTCGTGGGTACCCTCCAAAACTACCTACCCCTACCTATCCATCAACGACGTACTCAGGTTCCTGTGGGGGTCTGTCCATGTACCTCCACCCCTGATTGTCCCCTACCCACCCCGGTATACGAAGGTTAAAAATCACCAAGTCGACTTGCAGAGGACCCAAGTTCAAGCCCGTTCCATCTACTCACCCACCCGTGGTGTGCAGGCATGATGAGTCTCTTGATGTTGATAGACTACCCCACCATAGTCTTTTACCAGGAATCTTCGTTTGAGCCTGGGTACATTTCAAGGACAATACGAAGAAAGCCTACCCCCTGGAACATTCAGGACCCTACCTCTCGTATCCATGACTACACCCAAGGCTACTAAATCTGTTTTTGAATTACAACAATGTAACATGTTCATAGAGTCATCCAAATCGAGATCTCCACCTACCTACCCCCATCGGAAACGTACTACCCTACAATTTCCTAAAGAATCCTCGTAATAGGAGGGGTGCATGATAAGAAAGCTGTCCGCCGTGGGTTGCCTTGACAAGGTCATGCCGATCAACCACTCTGCAGGGGTCCCTTGCAGAATGTGGGTGTTTAGGGGGTGGTCTCCTTTTTTAAAATGGTTTCCGATGGGCCGTGACAGTCATCGGGGCGCCAAGATGCCCAAACGATTCTTTTTCGATCAGCACCTCATGACTGAAAGTATCAAGAGATGCATTGTCGTCTATTTCTGCGATGCGGCTGGTCAGCGGTGGACTGAAATCAAGGCTATTCCTTCCTCGTGCAGGGGCAAGCTGACAGAGTGACCTTCTTCTGTCTGTTGTTACATTCCTCCTTCTAAACAGCGCATCAAATTTAGACTCAGTTTTGCTTTGTGCTCTCCGGATCTCCGGGCAGATTTTCAAGCGTTCCGATACCGCAGAGTTTCGAAGCACACTGCGAGAAAATGCTCCTATAGTTAGAGCCGAGAGTTCAGACCCTACCCCTCGGTGAGAACTCAATCAATACATATGAAGCCCTTTGGTATGCAGGTCAAGCATTCATTAGAAGAGACAATAGTAGAAGAAGGATAAGGGAAAAACCAAGGCATCAACCCGTGACACTTGCGACTAACTACCGGTAATAAACAAGAAACAGAGGTATAGAACAATCTCAAGATCGATCGTGAGTCACGGCGCAAGTACCCAACATGCGACTGAGATCAGGGAGGGTGTGGGTCACTACCCTACCTTGGCCCATTATTTTACAGCTCACCCAGTACCTGAAACCAAAGCGAACCGGTGGCTACAGATTTTGAACTTGGCTCAGCGGCTGGCTTTGTCGTCGTCCGGGCCAGCCGCCGGCCGCTTTGCCCGGCGCCGCGGCGGGCCCCGGCGGCGGCCCGGGGCCGCCGGGCCGGGGTGGCCCGGGCGGACTCGGACTGAGCGGCGGTTTCAATTCGGTTCGCCGATCGGATCCGAGGCAGTCCGATGATGCCGCCATCCGATGCCGGATGATGATGATGCGGCCGCGATTCGGAGACCGAGGCCCGGCTCGCCGGTGTCGGAAAGCCTGGTTCCGCCGTCCGATCCGGCGTCACGGTCCGGGAGTCCGCCCAGCACTGGCAGCCTGCCAGTCCGAGGCTCCGGGAGTCCCGAGTCCAGGACCGGCGTCCGCCGTCCGGCGTCACAGGCTCCCCGGGCCGGGCCGGGCCCGGGTGAGCCTGAGTCCGGGACTCCCGGCGGAGTCAGGCGTGACTGCCCCCGGCGTCGGATCTGGCTGAGTCACGGGCCGCGCCCGGCCGCGGCCCCGGCCGGGCCCGCCGTCGGCCCGGGCCGCAGTGTGCGGCACTGCGGCAGTGCCGCCCCGGCCGTACGGTCGCCGGACCGACGAACCACTGGCTTGAATTCCATTGAAAGGGGGGTGGGGTGCATTTTTTCATTCTTTTGTACCCCGTGAACACCTCTCAGTTTGGAAGGTGGGGTGACCACCAGGTAGGGTGGTGTCATGCCTGGGGGTAGATCATGCCCATCACTCGTGTATGGGTGGTACGCCTTGTTCACCGGTTGTTACAGTGAGGTGCAAGGGTGTTTAGATCTTGTGAACTCAGGTATGTAGGATATACAAAATTACTTATTGCAATATACGAAATATATCGAAGCTGAATGGTACCCTTAGAGACTGCTGATCGGGGTGGCCTAAAGGACGGGATCAGAATGATGACCCAGCTTTACAAGGTGGTGGGTAGGGTGATATGGGTCGGTGGTGGTATCATGTGGGTCATACTGTAGAGGGATAGAGAGTACCGGTAGTGATCTATCAAAAGGAGGGGTGGTAGTCAGCCCGATCTACTTAATGCCTTTAGGTGACTACCGGGTTATTTTAGACTTATTATCTTTTGGCTTTGTGGGTGGGGTAGTTGTAAGCGCCGCGGCCGCTGCATGCTGGCACAAGATAGTGGGGGATAGGGAATGGGGATGGGGGTGGCGAAAGATGGAATCAGCCATGAGATGGTCAGGATCGAGCATGTTCGTACCGAACAATCATGGTTGACATTAAGCTGCTTTCTTGCGAATGATTTTGACGAATGTGGGGTAGTGAGAGAGTTTTCTGGCACTTTACACTGGTTTAGGAGGATCTTTGTAAAGAACTGAACAGAAAGCATTTTCAGAGACAGATCAGCATCCTTCACTTTTATAGGATGAATAGTAATCCCAAAACGCTTCTTCAACATGATTACACAAACACTGCTGGCCAAATATGCATTTTCGACCATCTGGATGAAACAAGAGGCGTTGGGATTGACAGTTGGTCGCAGGCCTAAACAGGATGTGGAGCATGAAGTACTTTCTCTTAGTAGCATCGCCCGCGGTAGCGTATGGCTTTGCGCCCTCGTTTGGCCCTCTTGCGGGCAAGGGGGGCAACAAGGCGCCATCGCTCCGTGCTGCGTCCACTCCCTTGGACCTGACCATGGCCGCTCGCGTTCCTTTCATTGCGGGGAATTGGAAGATGAATCCTACCTCAGTGGAAGAGGTCGTCATCGATGCAAATGATTCCATGTTTGACCCTCTACTCTCAGGCCATCAGCCTGGCGAAGGCCATCGCGGACGGCAAGGGGAGCTCTAAGGCTCAAGTAGCTATCTGCACTCCCCACCCGTTCTTGGCAGCTTGCAAGCCTCACCTGGACAAGGGAGGAATCGATCTTGGGGCTCAGGCCTGCTACTTTGAGCAGAAGGGAGCATACACGGGGGCCACCTCCACCTCTATGATCAGGGTGAGAGGGCTGCAGTGCTGACGTGGAGGCGGATAGTGAAATTTCTCATTGGCAGAGCGTTGGAGCAAAGCATGTCATTGTTGGCCATAGTGAGCGTCGTACTGTCTTCCATCAGACGGACGAGATGGTCAACCAGATCGTGAGATGAATTCTGCGGGGCCGGTGAAGCTCGTGACCACCCATGGCAGATCCACAAGGTCCTTGCCGACAACATGCTGCCTATCTTGTGCGTTGGGGAGACCAAGGCAAGAGGAGGGCGATGTGTGACTATGAGAGAGTCTTACTTTCTTGGATTTTTAGGAAGAGTATGAAAGTGGATTGAACACCCAGATCTGTGCTATACAGGTGTTTCACGTTGCACTGAAGAATGTTATTTGTCGCTCACTGAAGCTTCTATCAGCTAGCGAAGGGATTGAAGGGTGTGTCCAAGGAGGATGCAAAGAAAGTCACCATAGCATATGAACCAGTCTGGGCCATCGGAACTGGACTCGTTTGCGATGCCAGCGTGGCACAGGTTGGTTATCTTTTTCAGTTTCTCCTCCCCTTCTGTCCCTTCTTGTCTTCCTGTTTACCTCTTGATCTTGTTCCCTCCTCCTTCGCAGCACTAGATTGCCCCTCTGTTCGTTTGCCTCTCTCCTCTTTTGCATTTATGCGAATCTCTTGTTGGTTTTCTCACCTGATGATTCTTCACAGGATGTTCATAAGTTTATCAGGGGATGGCTAGCAAACATGTACGACCAGGAAACTGCTGACACAATTAGAATCCAGGTGAGGTCTTGCCGCTATGCACCTTGAGACCTGACACTTGGCTTGCAGTACGGTGGATCAGTTACCCCTGACTCTGTCGACGAGCTCATGTCCAAGCCTGACATCGATGGTGAGGGACATGGTGGCGGTGCCATCAAGGTGTGGTGATAGTTCTTACCAGGTTGCTTGGTTGGAGGAGCCTCACTAGATCCAGCCAAGTTCACCCGCATCATGAACTTCAAGTAGACGAGCTGAGACAGGACACTGCTGTTTCCCGTATCTACGAGAGGAACAAGCTGTTCACTCAATCCCCAGTTGCTGTGGGATGCGAGTTTGCAAGAATGAAAATGACTTATTTTTATCACACATCAACGGTTCACTCGCTATACAACATTCATGGATATTTCACGTCTCTCATTAGTCCTTCTGATCATGTTCCAAGCAGCCGTCGGCTGCAACGCTTGCAGCTTGGCAAAGTTCCTGAATGATCCTGTCGTTCTCCACGGATTCCCAGAGCTCCATCAGTCCTTCTATGGCAATCTCACCCGGGTGTTCTTTGCGTTTCTCCTGCAACACCGGAACTGGTTAGACAACTGATGACATCGGAGTCATTGCGAACAACAACATGAAACAAACATGTCGAACTTGACATCGTCAAGAAAGAACATCCAAGGTCCAACAATATCATCCTCCAACTCATGCATCCTTCATGTACTCTACCGAGCTCTGCGTCGTGATGCCGTTATAAAGGGCCTCGTACAGCCCTCCCTCCGGCAGCCACAACTCCCCCTGCCTGCCAGCCTCTTGTTCGCTGTCGCTCATGTCCTGCTCGCTGCTGCTGAGGTCCAGCAGGCACTCAGCTGCCGCCGAGTCATCGAAGGGGAGCTCCGAGAAGTCTCGCCGGCTGCTCTGGTTCACAAGTCCCTTGGGGCCGCGTTTGTGAGCATGGCGGAGGCCATCCGGGTTGACCGTCGGGTCCAGGGAGGAGTCAGGGGTAGTGGAGCAGCTCAGAGCCTCGTCCGAGCACTCGACTTCTTGCCGTGGTTTGAGAGAGTCTCTATCGCAGAAGAGCTTGACCTTGAACATGCTGGAGAGAAACGAGTCAGCGTGCTCTTAGTACTGTATGGGTTCAACGCCCCTCCTCTCAAATTCAATCAAAATTGATCGCGAGACAAAGGCGGGGGCAAAGAATGCTGCAGAAAGACAGCAGAATGTCAACATGGCAACTGACATCAAGCTGGTAAGCTTGTCTTCTATCATCTATCGGTAACTACGAGCATCTCATGACACAAATTGTCCAGGATTGGAAAACCTAACAATCTACACACACAACTTTTCTTCCGAGCACCAGGTCCTGAGTTTTGTTTGCAATCACGCATCTTCACCGGCATTATTTCATCTTTTCTGATCAAGCCCCACTACCCACGCACATTTCACCATTCCTCCTCTCAGGCAACACTGTCTGACCCGCAGCACAGTCACGGGCAATGTTAACAGCACGTCCCCCTTTCCCTCCTCGACACGACCATAGCAGCCCCATCACGAGCAGAGGCGGGAAGAACCATGTTAGCACGTGCTACAAGAAGCAGGTCTGGAGAGGGGCGGGAGTGCTGGCGGACAGCGGCAGTAGGGGCGGAGGAGGAGGAGCGATAGGGGGACGACAAGCATGGCGCTTGCACACCAAAGGAAAAAAAGAGGCCAAAACAATAAGGCTCGACCAAAAAAATTTAATCTCAGTGTAAAACCAGAGGGCCGGGTCGGTGGCCCGGGCCCGGCGGACTCAGTCAAGGGAGAGCAATGGAGGGGATGTGGTACACGCTAGAGCTAGAGGCATGCAGGGAGGAGAGGGAAGGGGGCGGGGAGGAGAGGA